AATTACTATCATTTTAATGTTAATTATGAATAAGCTTGTCAAGAGCCTGAAATAATATCTATTATTATTGATTACGGCTTGCTTATGCATAAATAAATAAATAAAACATTCGATTCCTGTTGATAGGGGGATGTGCTGATTAGTTTTTGGCAAAGGCAGGTCCTGCCGTCTAGCAAAGAGTGCAGAAAATCGAGTTCTTGAGAGAACCGAGCATCCGATTTAAATGATTCAAAAAGCATTCAATTTGTAATGATTGGGAGAAGTGGTGATTAATTTTTGGCGAATGTAGGTCTAGCCGTATCGGAAATAAGGAGCTAAATATATAAAAGAATTTCTTTTTTTTTTAATTTCCAAAACTAAATCTCAATATTTTTAATTGATCTGCTGTACTATTTATTGTACAATTGTGCAACTTATTTATGATGCATTTATTTATAATTATTTACTCTTTTAACTTTCAATTTATTAGATTATTATAAATGATATATTTGGAAAGTTTGTATAAAATTAAATAATCCACAATTTTGAGGACCCTACGGCAACTCGATATACTTTAACCTTTTCCACTCGGATGCAGCCGCTCCGGCGGCAAAATACATATAAATCTCGTAATTTGGGATTGGAAAGGGTTAAAATTGATCTTGATCATAGAAAATTAATACCATAGCGATAAAAGTCGACCCTATAGCAACTGGATATACTTTAACCCTTTCCACTCGGATGCCGCCGCTCCGGCCGCAAAATACATATAAATCTCGTGATACACGAGTGGAAAGGATTAAAATTGATCTTGATCATAGAAAATTAATACTATAGCGACAAAAGACCCAATAGCAACTCGATATACTTTAACCCTTTCCACTCGGATGCCACCGCTGCGGCGGCAAAATACATATAAATCTCGTAAGTCGCGATTGGAAAGGGTTAAAATTGATCTTGATCATAGAAAATTAATACTATAGCGACAAAAGTAGACCCTATAGCAACTCGATATACTCTAACCCTTTCCACTCGGATGCCGCCGCTCTTCCGGCAAAGTGCATATAAATCTCGTTATACGCGAGTGGAAAGGGTTAAAATTGATCTTGATCATAGAAAATTAATACTATAGCGACAAAAGTAGACCCTATAGCAACTCGATATACTCTAACCCTTTCCACTCGGATGCCGCCGCTCTTCCGGCAAAGTGCATATAAATCTCGTTATACGCGAGTGGAAAGGGTTAAAATTGATCTTGATCATAGAAAATTAATACTATAGCGACCAAAGTACAATTATTCAGTATATTATTTATTATTTTCAATCGATTTCTCATTCGATTAATATGAATGAAATATTAGACGAACTTTTTAAATTAAATTATGTACAACTTGCTCTTACAACAAAATGCTTTAAACCAACTCGGTGTACTCCTAAATTGTAATTAAAATTTAAAATTGTAAATACTCAAAATGTAGTACTACAACACGTTTGCATCTCTCTAGTCTCATATAACTTGTATACCATTCGATTAGTATTAATGATGAATTTGGCGAAATTGTTGAAAATAAAGTATAAATCAATATTCTTCAACAATACAATATCCTAGAGCAACTCGGTATACTTTTTAATATCCAAAATCAAGCCGGAGCATTGAAATACCATCACTATGGTATATCTGTTGTAACTTTTAAACCAATTGATTAATATGAATTATGTATTGGCAAATTTGTTCACAATTAAACAATTAACAATATTGTCCATCTTGGAATACTTGAAAATATCTTCAGTAATAATAATCAATATATATTTATAATAATTATTAAATGTATATAATTTGATTGCATATATGTTTCTTATATCTATTTCATGGTAATAACTTTCTTTCTATTTCTATTACAGCAATATACAATTTAAATCCAGACGTGGTCCACTGTGGAATCCAATTAATCGTAGGAGAAACCGTAGAGCTTCTGCTGGAGTCAACAGATTGGTATTATGGCTTCAGTCGAAAGAGAAAAGACAGACATGGCATCTTTCCGAAGAGCTATGTACATGTTGCTGAGTTTGCTGTCGAGAAAGCAGGAGGCAAGGAAATAGATATAGTTGTATAAATATATATATATATATATATATATATAATATACTTGTTGTCCCAGACCTTGACATCAAGTTGAAACAGGGTTAATAGGATTGGCCTAAACTGTTCTGAAAAAATTTAGAAGAAAAAAGAGTGCGCGTAAGGTTCACACGCGATTGAAGTAAAACCTATTTGCTACTGTACAAGATGGCATTTAAGTAAAAATAAATACATCATGTAATAATTTTGAATAATGTTTATTAGTAATATGGTAGCACTCGTGATCGTAACACATTTATTAGTGTCAACCATTATATATATTTTTATAATGATAAATTATAAACTACACATTCATAATAGCATTAAAAATATGTATAATATTTAAAAACAATGATGTAATTAAAGCCATACTTCAAATATGACATGATCGGTTTGTCATTGTAATTAGCATTTAGAAATGAACCTTCATTAGAGAAATGAAGTAATTGCTGATTAATAAATTCTATAATATTCGTTCACACAGTGGATTATGTTAAACAAATACTGTTTTCGCAACTTCACTCATCATGTAATTGCGTTTGAAGAACTTCATGTAATTAAAATTAACATACATTCATTGGCTGCTTGTATTTTTTTTACTTTATCGCTGGCGATATGGTCTCATTCTTTAAACTTTGAAATATTTTCTATTTTAATAACTTCAAAGATTTATAGAAACTACGAATAATATAGAAATAATTTCTAATCAATGAACTTACGTTTAGTACACGGCACAAATGTTTAATTTGTTTTATTATTTTCAAGGAACAGGGTAAAATATTCTTCTGATTTAGGCATTTTTCATTAAATCAAGATTTGTACTGCGATGTAACTTTAAAATGTTTATTTATCTATGCCGATTTCCTTGTTGATATCGGTACGCATACAACGTTGATGCCGGTACGCATACAACGACAGATCTCTATACACATACACGACGACTAATCACAATCGATCCGTATTGAAGTGATTTAATCGAGAGCGAATGGCGTACAGTTCGGGCGTAACGCTATTTCCGTTGCATTTGTACGGATTTACATTCTAGTTGCCCATAAAGAAGTTTGACTTCAAAAAGAGAAAAAAAGATAGAAAAATGGCTTAAAACAATGCTTTTGAAACTAGAAACAACATTTAAAACTAGAAAAATACAAACACCAATCTCTATTTAAAGCAGATTCAGTTAATTAAACTAATAAAAATCGGAATAAAACTTGTGAATACAATTTTTATTCATGAATTTTCAAAAAACTGAAGAAAATAATAAAGTAATCATTGATAATTATTAATATACATTTAATATTTCAAATTAATATTAAATTATAAGTAATTAATAAACTAAAATATTGGAAAAATAGTTGATTTTGCCAATCTTATTCATTGTACTATTTTATTGATTTTGTACGTTTAAATTTGATTTAAAAACATTTTACGCTATATGATAATTTAATTTTTATCAATTTTATGACAATTTTTATAATAACATCACTATATTTTAACATAAAAGATTTTTATTATCGTTTCTGATTATGTGTTTAAATTTTTTCAATGGTTACAATGTTGGTTGGTCAAATCATATTAAATGTTCATTTCATAATATAAATTATATTATTTAATTTTAATTTATAATTAATGTAGTATTTTTTTAAAGGTAATTATGACATGGTCACCTTAAAGCAACCAATAATTGTGCAGGAAATCACAGCTGTCTTACGAGAATGGGGCACATTGTGGAAAACATTATATGTTGTAAGTATAATGATAAATTAGTTCATATTGTTGTAGATTTGTCAAACAAAATATTATTAATACTTCTGTAATAATCTCATGTTAATAATCAATTAAATCTTCATATGTTTATCTAAATATTTATTTATTTATTTATTTAACGCCCAAGGCAATAATACAGTATAATTACATTCTAAAGTGTACAAAATATAAACTAAAGATAATATGAGTAACATATGTAACATTAAATAAAAACTAATAAAATTATTAGTTATTATATTAAGGTCTATTTCTTTCCCCCAGACTCACAGTCCTCACTTTGAGCAAATCCAGAAACAAATCTACGACTTGATCCACTATCGGATAAAAATTCTCTCAGGGACTCTGCCAGTGGACGAAGTGAAAGAGATCAAACAATTGGTCACAGCAAAAATCGATACTGGAAATAAAATTTTAGGTTTGGACATGGTGGTCAGAGATGACCATGGAAATGTCTTAAATCCAGATCATACGTCTACAATTCAATTGTATCAGCAACATGTTATGGCCACTGAGAGGATAAAAAGGACCACGGTAAGGGATAAAAGAATTATAAATATTATTGACTTCCCAAAGGAGATGTTTATGTTTTCATCAAAAAATCAGATTTGCTAATTTTATGTTTTCTCGACGTTTCAAGCAATTCTGAATCGAATGAGACCAAATTTGGAAAAGGTATGTGTGTGTGTAAGTGAACAGATTTTTTGCCGTAAATCGACATTTTCTCAAAAACAGCTGGACCGATTTTAAAAATGTAAAAGCCATTTGATGTATTTCGATGAGGACTATCGTTTCTGAGTTTCGTGCGACGATCGGCCGGACTGTTTCTTTGTAAATCGTAGAAATGTGAAAAAAATTTCGTCCAGGTTTTAGGCCGCAATTCTGAATAGATTTTAAAAATTCAAAAACCGTTCGAAAGATATTGCTTGGGAATCGACCTGATTAGTTTTTGGTAAAGATCAGCCGGGCCGTTTTCTTGTAATAAAGTTTTAAAAAAAAAAAATCGACGATTTTTATTATTATTTTTTTACGGTAGATACCATAGTCTTGTAGATCATACTAAAATATTACGACTCTACGACAAGTCGTTTAACTTTCAAATTCGTCAAAGTTTGCAAAAATTGGTATAGTTTTTATGGCATTTGTCAAAATTAGACCTTTGATCGACGTTTTCTCAAAAACGCCTGAACCGATTTCAGAAATTTAAAAGCCATTTGATGTATCTCAATGAGGACTGTCGTTTGCCAGTTTTGTGCGACGATCTGCCAAGCCGTTTCTTTGTAATTTGGAAAAAAGTGTTAAACTTTCCGTCCACATTTAAGCTCATACTACCGAATCGATTTTAGAAAATCAAAAACTGTTAGAAAGATATTAGTTGGGAATGATACTGATTAGTTTTAGGTGAAAATTTACCGAGCCGTTTTCTTGTAATTAACTGTTAGAAAAAAAATGTAATCCGATTTTTATGGAACTTCTTCGGCAATATATATCATGGTCTTATAGAACTTACTGAAATATTAATGCCTTAGGACAAGTAGTTTAATTTTAAAAATTCATCGAAGTTTAAGAAAATGAGTAATTTTTTGACGTTTTTTTAAATTAAAACTAGACGATTTACTTGGTATACTGATAGAGTACTTGATCTTAATGAACATACTAAACCATTAAAGTCTTTCGGAAACTGGTTCAATTATAAAAATTGTTGATTTTTGGAAATTTGCTTTTAGAAAATACTCCGAGTTAACGCGTTCGTTCGTTTTAAATTATGTACACTCGGAATACTTATAATCACACATAAATTAATTTATTTTTTATTGATTAAGTCGATTATTTATACATATCGGGAAGTTCATGTAATTTGGCTCAAGGCGAAATACCAATACCAACTAGTTAAGTTATTAACTTCCCGTAGGGCAAGTTATAGTAATCGCAAAAAAATCGAAAATGAAAATTTTTATATATCTTTACGTTTCAGAGGTTTCTGAACATTTTGGCATACCTTAGAAAAAATGGATGTATGTGTGTGTGTGTGTGTATGTATGTACGTGTGTGTATGTATGTGCGGATACAAATTTTCGTCGACGATTTCGAGAACACGGATCAACCGATTTGAATAATTCAAAAAAAAAAATCGATTTGTATTGATAAGGAGACGTTCTGATTATTTTTTGGCAAAGGCAAGTCTAGCCGTTCCGAAGATACGGAGCAAAAAGTGCCAAAAACGGTACCTCCGTTTTCAAGAGAACGGAGCATCCGATTTGAATAATTCAAAAAACATTTTATTTGTATTGACAAGATGAATAATCGATAAAATTTTCATGAAGGTAGGTCCAGCGGTTTCGGAGATATAGAGAAAAAAGTAAAAAAAATGAGCCATTTGGCGGTCAAAAATGATCATTAGACATATATGCACATCAAATTATCAGATATTTTATAGAGATTTTAACAATAAGTATACATTTTGTTAACATTCCTATGGGTTCCGTACCAATGCTTATGCTTTAGACAGCGACGCGGCGCTTACGCGCTTTATATTTTGTCCCTATGCAGTTAAAGCAGTACGATTGCTTTGAAAAAAAAGTTCAGATCTTCCACAATATGTCAAAATAAGGAAAAAAAATTTTTTTTTCAAAAAAAAAATTAAAAAAATTTTAATCGTTAATCGTTTTTAAAAAAATAATAATTTTTGGTACGGGAAGTTCCAGCAATTTGCCTTAAGGCACGATGCCTTAATTGCCTTAAGACAGAATTCCACTTACAGCTAGTTTAATTTTTAAAACAAAGTATTGAAATAATCATGGCCATTGATTTTGTATACCATCCATAAATCTTTGGCCAACAAGACAGTAGATAAACTTTTTGAAAATTAATTAATATACCTCATTAACATCTTCATTAAAATAACTTTTTTCTTATTTCCTTTATCTAGTCAACAGAGCCAAGAAGACGTTCCAACAAGCACAGCTCGCACATATATTCCCACATATTTTTTGTGTCCGTGAGGAATTTTGTGTGCAAAATGCAAGAAGATTGTGAATTGTTGATGACTTTATATGATGCTAAAGAATGTAGAGCAGTTACAGAAAATTATGTCGTCAGGTGGTCCAAACAAGGATTGACTAGTGATATCGATCAGTTGCACAATTTAAAAGTTTTGTTCACGGTGAGTAATAGATGAACTATATAAAATTTTTCTGTAGGGTGTTTGATTTGATACTTCTCTTAAACGGTTATTCGGATTTTGATTATTCTTTTTAGAGTTTGTCAAAGGAAATTTAATGAACGATAAAATTATAGTAATATTGTAGAAATAAATGACAAAAATTACTAAAAAACATTTATCATTGTTTGGCATTGAAAACATTTGAACTGTTAGAAGTGTCAATTTACTTGAAATTTGAATTTAACTAAAATTATGAGCCTAGGCAATATTAGAATATAATATACAAGAAAAATGTAATGTCTACATTATTATGCTATTATTGTAAATTGCCTGAAAGTGTTGTAGATGATTCGATTGTGGATGTAAATTGTCTGAAAATGTTGTAGAATGTCTTGTAATCTTGTGGATATTCTGAAAAAATTGCGTATGTTTTGTTAATGGATGTAGATTATCTGAAAATATTGTAAATTGTGGGAAATTGTTGTACATTAATGAAATACTCGAGGAATTTTAAACGTTTTCAAATATATTATCACAAGTACTGTAACTTTTATTATTTTTGCTATCTTTTTATATCTTAGCAAATCAAATGTAAATCATAAATTAATTTATCTCCAGAACATTAACAATCGTCATTTCATTTCAAATTCAATTTCAAGAAAAAAAAATGTCTAATTTACACAAAATTGAAGAAGTGCTCCCGTATAGTCACAGTCTAAACGCACTTGCGAATAATTCTGTGCGACATTTTCACTTGTACTGTGCTTAGCGGGCGGCATTTTCACATTTTTTGATAGTTTTCACAAAATTGAAAAAGTGCTCCAAAACATAAACAGCACTTGGGTAAACATTTGTACCAGAGTGGCGCTCAGACTGTGCTTAGCCTGGGTAAATTTTTGATTAAATATTATTATTAATATTTAATATTTGATTAAATATTTGATTAAATATTTATTAAATTTTTCATTACAGTATGGTACTTTGCCTGGTAGTTTTATGAATTGTCTGAATATGTTTGTGTGCTGTGTGTAAATGTTGTTGATTGTGGGTAGGTTGTCCCAAAATATTATTGTAGATTGACTGAAAATGTTGCAAATGGTCTACAAATATTGTAAATTACCTAAAAGTATTGTAAATTACTTAAAAGTATTGTAAATTGACTGAAAAAATTGTAAATTGTTTGAAAATGTTGTAGATTGGCTGATAATATTGCGGATGGTCTGGAAATGTTGTAGATGAGCTGAGATGAGAATATTGTAAATTATCTAAAAATGTTGTACCTTCTGAAAATTTATATTGTCTAACAATATTGTAGATTGTCTGAAAATGTTGTCGATTGTCTTGAAATGTTATAGACATTCTGGAAAAGTTGTGCATGGTCTGATAATGGATGTGATTGTCTGAAAATATTATAAATTGTCAGAAATTGTTGTACATTGTCTAACAGTTGTCTGTCAGTTTTATGAATTGTCTGAAAATGTTTGTGGGTTGTGTGTAAATGTTGTCGATTGGGGTAGGTTGTCCCAAAATATTATTGTAGGTTGACTGAAAATGTTGCAAATCTGAAAATATTGTAAATTGTCTAAAAATACTGTAAATTGCCTAAAAGTATTGTAAATTGAGTGAAAAAATTGTAAATTGTTTGAAAATGTTATAGATTGTCTGATAATTTTGTAGGTATACTGACAATGTTTTAGAATTTTAGATGGTCTGAGAATATTGTAAATTATCTAAAAATGTTGTAACTTCTGAAAATTTATATTGTCTAACAATATTGTGCATTATCTGAAAATGTTGTTGATTGTCTTGAAATGTTATAGACATTCTGGAAAAGTTGTGCATGATCTGATAATGGATGTAGATTGTCTGAAAATATTGTAAATTGTCGGAAATTGTTGTACATTGCCTAACAGTTGTCTGTCAGTTTTATGAATTGTCTGAAAATGTTTGTGGGTTGTGTGTAAATGTTGTCGATTGGGGTAGGTTGTCCCAAAATATTATTGTAGGTTGACTGAAAATGTTGCAAATCTGAAAATATTGTAAATTGTCTAAAAATACTGTAAATTGCCTAAAAGTATTGTAAATTGAGTGAAAAAATTGTAAATTGTTTGAAAATGTTATAGATTGTCTGATAATTTTGTAGGTATACTGACAATGTTTTAGAATTTTAGATGGTCTGAGAATATTGTAAATTATCTAAAAATGTTGTAACTTCTGAAAATTTATATTGTCTAACAATATTGTGCATTATCTGAAAATGTTGTTGATTGTCTTGAAATGTTATAGACATTCTGGAAAAGTTGTGCATGATCTGATAATGGATGTAGATTGTCTGAAAATATTGTAAATTGTCGGAAATTGTTGTACATTGCCTAACAGTTGTCTGTCAGTTTTATGAATTGTCTAAAAATGTTTGTGGGTTGTTTGTAAATTATTGTTTATTGTGGTATGTTGTCCCAAAATATTACTGTAGGGTGACTGAAAATGGTCTGAAAATATTGTAAATTACCTAAAAGTATTGCAAATTTTCTGAAAAAAATGGTATTTTGTTTGAAAATGTAGATTTTCTGATAATATTGTAGATGGGCTGAAAATGTTGTAGATTGTCTAAAAATATTGTAAATTGTCTAAAAATACTGTAAATTGCCTAAAAGTATTGTAAATTGCCTAAAAGTATTGTAAATTGTAAAATGGATGTAGATTCTTAAACAATATTGTAGATTGTCTAAAAATACTGTAGATTGCCTAAAAGTATTGTAAATTGCCTGAAAAAAATGTAAATTGTTTGAAAATGCTGTAGATTATCTGTAAATGTTGTTGATTGTGTGAAAATGGATGTAGATTATCAGAACTGATACAGTAGACTGTCTAAAGAAATTGTAAATTGCCCGAAAATGATGTGGATTGTCTGAAAATGTTGTGGATTGTCTAAATAAATTGTAAATTGTCTGAAAGTATTGTTGGTTGTCTGAAAATGTTGTATATTGTCTGTAAATGTTGTTGATAGTCTGAAAATGGATGTAAATTCTCAGAAAATGTTGTAGATTGCCTAAGAAAATTGTAAATTGCCTGAAAGTATTGTTGGTTGTTTGAAAATGCTGTACTTTGTCTGAAAATGTTTTGAATTGTCTGTAAATATTGTTGATGGTCTGAAAATAGATGTAGATTTTCAGAAAATATTGTGGATTGCCTAAGAAAATTGTAAATTGTCTGAAAGTATTGTTGGTTGTCTGAAAATGTTGTATATTGTCTGTAAATGTTGTTGATGGTCTGATAATGGATGTAGATTCTCAGAAAATATTGTAGATTATCTAAGAAAATTGTAAATTGCCTGAAAGTATTGTTGGTTCTCTGAAAATGTTGTGGATTGCCTGAAAATGTTGTATATTGTCTATAAAGGTTGTTGATGGTCTGAAAATAGATGTAGATTCTCAGAAAATGTTGTAGGTTGCCTAAGAAAATTGTAAATTGCCTGAAAGTATAGTTGGTTGTCTAAAAAGGTAGTACTTTGTCTGAAAATGTTGTGGATTGTCTGAAAATGTTGTATATTGTCTGTAAACGTTGTTGATGGTCTGAAAATGGTTGTAGATTTTCAGAAAATATTGTAGATTATCTAAGAAATTTGTTGTACTATGCCTGAAAGTATTGTTGGTTGTTTGAAAATGTTGTGCTATGCCTGTAAATGTTGTTGATGGTCTGAAAATGGATGTAGATTCTCAGAAAATGTTGTAGATTGCATAAGAAAATTGTACAGTGCCTGAAAGTATTGTTGGTTGTCTGAAAATGTTGTTGATGGTCTGAAAATGGATGTAGATTTTCAGAAAATATTGTACATTGTCTAAGAAAATTGTAAAGTGTCTGAAAGTATAGTTGGTTGTCTGAAAATGTTCTACTTTGCCTGAAAATATTGTGGATTGTCTGAAAATCTTGTATATTGTCTGTAAATGTTGTTGATGGTCTGAAAATTACTGTAGATTTTCAGAAAAGATTGTAGATTGTCTAAAAAAATTGTAAATTGCCTGAAAGTATTGTTGGGGCTGTCTGTAAATGTTTTGGATTGTCTAAAAATGTTGTTGATGGTCTGAAAATGGATGTAGATTCTCTGAAAATATTGTAGATTGTCTAAGAAAATTGTAAATTGCGTGAAAGTATTGTTGGTTGTCTGAAAAAATTGTAAATTGTGTGAAAATGTTGTATATTGTCCTTAAATGTTGTTGATGGTCTGAAAATGGATGTAGATTCTCAGAAAATGTTGTGGATAGTCTAAGAAAATTGTAAATTGCTTGAAAGTATTGTTGGTTGTTTGAAAATGTTTTGAATTATGTGAAAATGTTATAGGTTCCTCGAGTATATTCTATAATAGTTGCCTGAAAATGTGGAAAAGTGTCTAAAAATGCTGCAGTTGTCTGAATTTTTGAAGATTGTCTGAAAAACATGTAAATCATTTGGAACTAATTTCAATGCAGTTTTTGCAATAAATGTTCAAATAATAGAACACAAACATTTGATTTTTTTTTATCAAATATCCAATTGTAAATGATATAGATTTATTTTCCTGATGATAATTGTGATAAGATGATTGGTGAATTGTTAATAAAGAAAGGAGAAGAAAGTTTGTCTTCAAAATTTAATATGTTTATTGACGACTACCTCTTCATATTTTCAATTGTGCATTACGAAGTTTCACTTCTCTCTTCATTCTATCATATTTTTTATTTCAGGATTTGGGTTCAAGAGATTTGACCAGAGAGCGTGTATATCTAGTTTGTTATGTTGTCCGAGTTGGTTCCATGGATAGCAAAGACACTCTAGATCACAGAAGGTCGTCTGTCTTGAACAGTTCTGCATCTAAAAGTATTTCTTCAAATTCTCTTGGATCCAATATCAGTGTTGGACCTGGGGCCAGGCAATTTGAGGGAATGCGTAGACCCTTTGGTAAGGAAAAAGGACATATTAGAAGTTGCAATGGATATTTATAGAGCTGCAACTTTAAATTATGAACACTTTTCTTATCCTAATTGTTGTATTTTTTCTCCTAGGTGTTGCTGCAATGGACGTAACACCATTTTTGTGGGAAAAAATGGATGGTGATGAAGATAAGCACCATTTTGTACCATTTATGCCGTAATTATACTTGATTATTTAAATTTAAACATAATTTATTAACAGTTACTGATTATATAATAATATTTTCAGTTGTGAAAAGGATAATTTGGATAATACGTTGAGGAAAATAATTAACAATAAGGATCAGGGTAAAAATGACAATAGAGGACAAGGACTTTGGGTCAGTGTCAAGTTGTTACACGGTGATATAAAACAGGTAAATAGAAAATAAATATTCATTGAGTACCAAATCCATGGTACATTTTCTAATGTGCTGCCTAATAAGTTTGATTGAAAATAGGAGCATTCATTTGAATTTTTTTTATTTTTCTTTGTGATTTTTTTAGGTAAAGGAAGAAAATCCAGCCCTGGTTTTAGGCAATGTATCAGTAGCCAGGAAAATGGGTTTTCCTGAAGTAATATTACCAGGAGACGTTAGGAACGATTTATATCTGACATTGTTGTCTGGTGAATTCTCTAAAGGTGCCAAATCCACTGATAAAAATGTTGAAGTGTCTGTTACTGTTTGTGATGAAGCAGGGAGAGCCATACCTGTAAATAAAATCATATTTGATTATTATATTTAATAGGATAGAAATTATATTGATATTAACATTTTTGGGGTAAAGTTTTTTGTTAATTTTATTGTGATTTTGGTTTTCAGGGTGTTATGACTTTAGGAGGTGGTGCTCCAACATTAGATGAGTATAAATCTGTGATTTATTATCATGTTGATAAACCACATTGGTATGAAATTTTTAAGGTAGGATGAGATAACATAAATATATATAAAATGAAATATATTTATATGCATATATTGCAGATCTTAATAGTATTGACTTGAATATATTGCAAAAATATAGTATACTGTTTTGTTATTATTTGTTTATTTTTTTATTTCTTAACTTTTTTCTGTTTTCAGGTGGCTGTGCCAATAGACGAGTTCAAAGCCTCTCACCTTAAATTTACATTCAAGCATCGTAGTTCAAATGAAGCAAAAGATAAGTCGGAAAAACCATTTGCAATGTCTTATGTTAAATTGATGCAAAGTGATGGGACCACACTCAGGGATCAAACACACGATTTACTAGTTTATAAGGTAATAAAAAAAACAATGAGTCAGGATTATATTAAATCAATTGAGGGACTTGATACTTATATTAATCAAGTGGTTTAAAATTTTATAAAAAATATAGATTAATTAAACTTAACTGTGTTCAAATTTTTTATAACTAATTTATTATAACTAATGAATGCAATTTTCATAAATTTTTAGATTAATTATAACTAGAACATGAAATTTTCATTGTTTTTTTCAAATTCAAAATATTATAACTAGTAAATTAAATTTTCATAAATTTTTAAATTAACTATAACAATTATAACTAGAGTAACTAGAAAAATATGAAAATTTTATTATCTACTTATATTAGTTAGAATAAATTTGAAGAAAAATGTGAAACATTTATTCTCTAGCTATAATAGTTATAAGAAATTTCAGAAATTTATGGAAAGTTTATTTTTAGAATAAATGAACAAAGGGAAGTTTCATTCTCTAGTTAAAATAGTAATAATTAATTTAAAACTTTATAAAAAATTTATTTGCTAGTTAAATAAATAAATTAGAGAATGAATGTTTCACATTTTCTTCAAATTTATTTTAACTATTTTAACTAGAGAATGAAAGTTTCATATTTGTTTCAAATTTATTCTAACTAGTATAACTACTAACTAGTGAATGAATTTTCTTACATTTCTGATACAACATTTTATTTTTTTTACTTCAGATTGACCACAAAAAGTATTCAGATAGTGACCTAGGCTACTTAGGGCTTCCATCTCATAAATCATGCGAGTCCTTAAAAGAAAACCACAAACCAAGCTGTCCAGGTTTATCATTAAGCTCAAAAGATTCTTTTCGAATTGCTACGAATGTGTGCAGCACTAAACTAACACAGAATGGTCAGTAAATAATAACCAGATGATATATAATATATGATTATATAATTTTATTTTTATTGCAGTTGATTTGTTGGGTTTATTAAATTGGGCGAACCACAAGGATACACTCAAGGACTCCTTGTTAGCTCTCATGAAAGTTGACGGTGATGATATAGTTAAATTTTTACAAGATGTACTTGATGCCTTGTTTAATATTTTGGTAAGTTAATATATAGTAATACTTTTAAATATTTTTTTTATCTATTGTACTCATCTGTGATAAAATATTTTTGAGTCTCATAACTATTATTGTGTGTCAAGTTTATAAATTCAATTATAAATGAATGAATAATAGTTTTTTAATTTTTTATTACCATTTATAATTACTATAATGTGTGTTTTCTTTCACAGGTTCAAAATGATGACAGTCAAGTATATGATAACATGGTATTCGAATGCCTATTGAAAATTTTAAGTTTAGTCAGTGATAGAAAATATCAACATTTCCAACCCGTCCTAGATTTATATATACAAGAAAGCTTTTCAGCCACTTTAGCTTATCGGTGAGATTAACTAAATCAATATTTATTTAACAATTACAATGTACAATTGTTTATTACTAATTCTGATATATGTATTATTTATGTTTTAGAAAATTACTGACAGTATTAAAGTATCATATAGACAATGCTAATTCTGCAGAAAGCCAAGATTTATTGTTGAAAATTATGAAGTCTTTGCAGTATCTTGTTAAGTTTATTGTTAGGTCTCGCTTGCTGTTTGCTGAGCTGTATGATAATAAGAATGAGAGTGAATTTAATGATGACTTTCAGAGTAAGTAATAGGAAATGAAAGATATATATATATATATATATATATATATATATATATGTATATATACTGGGCTGTAATTTAATTTACATAGGAAAAACGAGCCAGAACGAACAACAACACAAAAATAATTCAGACAATACAAAACTATGCTTGCGGACCACATTAATACTTTAAACACAATATAGACTTTTTTAACCCGACTGTACTACAATTTGAACAAAATTTATTTAAACAAAGAATTATAGAAGGATTTTTTTTGACTATTAATAACAATAGAATAAAAAATAAGCGCAATGAACCTAACACGTTCTGCGTCTTAAATCTCTTGTTTAGATAGCATTTCCTAATTTCTCACAAAACAATAAAAATGTCGCGCAAAGGATTCGCAATTCGTTCCACACATGTGTAGAATCTTGGTAAAAATATTAAAAAAAAAAATCTTTTCTTCATTATGTCTTCAACCAGTTTACATACAACACATATATTACACACTATCTATTTGTGATTTTTTTAAGTTAGTATTTTGTGAAATATTGTTTAATTAGGAGTTAATGTTTATATTACATAGTGTTACCATATCCTGATACCATGAATTATTAGAATTTTCTATTTTACTACTAAGATTAACTAATTGTAAGTACTTTTTACTCTTTATATATTTTTTTTCCAATTCAATTGTTTTAGTTTTTAATTCTATTTTAAGTTTCCACTGAATGAAAGTTAGAATTATAGCCGAAACGTATGGGTGTAAAATACATTTTTGAAAGATATTCATGTTTTTTATTGATGTTATGCCCGATCACTAGATTTTGTTAATACATACTACTTTAATATCCTACTTAGCTACTGGCTCATGATTATAAATAATAATAATTTAAAATATTAATTTTAATTATTTTTTATCTAGACCTTTTTTGGAGTATAACAGACATGATGTGTTACACAACTGGAGTAACCCTATTGCCACAAGGGGCATTTTTAAAATACTTACCGACTACAATTGATGATATCTTGCAAGTCTATAACGGAAAACAATTAAGGTGAATATAAATAAATAAATAAATATATATATATATATATATATATATATATATATATATATAAGTATAAAGTATAAGTATATATATATATATATATATATATATATATATATATATATATATTGTAGAGCTTCGAACAAAGAATCCATAAATTAATATAAAACATTTTTTTTTTTAAAAAAAACAGTTTTTTATTTATTTACCGTCGACGTTTTGAAACTCGGTATGTTCCATCTTCAGGACATCTGTCATGAAACATGATCTTGATAAGATTTAAGCAAGCAATATGTTTAAGAAAAGCAGAAGATGGTAGATTTTTTTTATATAAAATGAATAAAATTGTGGAAAAAATAATGTACAGAAATATGACAATATAATCAAAATGAAAATGATAAAAGTAAATAAGGGGATTATGTAACAAAATATTAAAAATGATAAAAAATTAGAAAGTTCTAAGAAAAGGTTACTGAAAAAACAGAATTATATACCTGTATGATTGATTATACTAAGACTTTTTCACCTGTATGATTGATTATACTAACACTTATTAAAAAAAGTGATTTTATACATTTCTTTTGCTTTAAATAATTATAGAAAAATAGCATCATCAAAAGAAATGATACTTCTTTACTTTATGCGATTTCAGTGATTTTTTGCTAATTCTAAAGAAACGGCTCAACCGATCGTATGAATAAAAACTAACCATAGCTATTTGATAAACAAGTACTTAACGAGTTTCTTAAAAAAGCCTTTAAATTTTTGAAATCGGTCCAACTATTTTTGAGAAAACGTTGACAGTTTTCGTATTCACATATATACACACACATTTTTCCAAATTTGGTCTCATAAAGCTCAGAATGACTTGAAACGTCGAGAAAACAAAGTTAGCCAACCGGATTTTTTCGCGAAAACATAAATTTCTTCTACGGGAAGTTAAAAATAGGATTTACGACCCATTTATACTTTAATATAGATTTTTTGACATTTTTTCTCAGTTGCAATTTTTTCTTCAAATTATAGGTCACATGGTGAATTGAACAATTTTATATTTTTACTTTATAAATTATTGATTCCTCCTTTTTTTTTTATAAATTTACGTTTTTGTATAATAACTTTACTATTCATTTTTAATGGTATTATATTTATCATTATTAATTTTTCTTTTCCAGTATTCTAATAACAGAACTAATCCAAAAAGTGCCAGCAAACAGACTAGCAAAACAAAAAATCATGACTGTGAATTCTATAGTTTTAAGTTCTTTGTTTCGACAACCTGAATGCAGACAGGTTTTACTTCCAATGATCTGTAGGCAGGTTAAAGATCTTTTAGAAACCAAAGAGGAGGTAAGTGAAAATTTTAATAGAACAGAAAACAGTATTTTAAGTACATACATATTTATTTATTTATTTTATGAAACAAAGGTTATCCTGTTTATAATTTTATAATGATTGAAATTAAAAGTCAACCAGAGAAAATATCTACTGTTTAAGGAGACAATTCAAACAGAAACTATTATTATTATTATAAGCTCTTGGTATAAATCAATCCTTCATTTATATTATTTAGTAAAATCGATAAGTTAATATAAAATTGATAAATAAATAAGTTTGGATTAATTTAAGTATTTGAAAAGTTTTATTTTTCAATAATAGGATTATAAATGGGATAACCTTCTGTTTCATAAAGTTGTACATATCATTCTGTATAATTTCATAAGTAATTATATCGCAGTGTACAAAGCTTAAATCATGTCACATTTGTAAAAAAAAATCATTGTCTGCAAAATTTGTAAATATGAAAAAAAGAAGTAGTGTTAAAAGTTATATAAACTATTTTTCTAGTAAAGTAGTTCATTATTTTTTTCAATTTTTATAAATTATTTTGCTTTGAGTACAATTTTATTTTAAATATTACAGTTTGAATGATTTATTTTATATACATATATAAATTAGTTATTTATATAATTTTAATTTACAGATTTATTTTTGACTATGGGCTAAATCGACCGTCTAGTTAATAAATTCTTAAATCATTAAAAAAGATTGGTTTTTGTGTTAAGTAGTACTATATCCGTTATCACGTTTTTTCAAATAAAATACTTTTTGAAGTAAAACTTCTTTAGGCGCGACTAGGGATAAAGCCCGAACAGTTTGTCATTCGCTCTCGATGAAATCATTTCTATACTGTTTCAATTCTTTAGGCGTTGTTTAACATAATCCAGTGTTAACGAATATTATAGAATTTATTAATCAGCAATTACTTTATTTCTCTAATGAAGGTTCATTTCTAAATGCTAATTACAATGACAAACCGATCATGTTATATTTGAAGTATAACTTTAATTAAATTCAAATTTGTTATATGATGTATTTTTAACATATTTCGTACGATAGCAAAAAAGTTTTACTTCAATCGCATGTGAACCTTACGCGCACACTTTATTATCCTTTTTTTGTCGATTTATCCCATAGTTGTTATTACATTGAGTGTCTGTGTTGCGTGAGTGACAATAATGATTTTTTTAAAATAATTTATTTACAATGATTTGGTTTTGGATTTACAATATGTTTTGTTAATATATTTGTTGTGTAAATCGGTTAAGGGACTCCGATACAAAAAAATTCACTGCTTTGTCTTAATATGTTAACGACACTGAATTTTTTGACTAAAAATTAATTGGAAACATGCATGGATTGATGTAATTGAATACTATAATATAATTATATATATTTAGGGGTCAAAATTAGGTTCTTGGATAAAAATTTATTATGATTTATCTTGAGTACAAAATTTCTATCAATCCATGTATGTATATAAATGCTTTTTGTGTGCAATTGTTGTTAATTGTTACATGTCCTTTGGTAAGGGGATCAAAATGATAATATTTTTAATATAGATAATGAATTTTGAGTCCAAAAAAATACATTTTTTAAATAATATAAATAAAATGAAATCAAAAAAAGCCATTTATGCATAGATAAAAGAAAATTATATGCATTTATGATCTTCGTTTTTTTGTCAAATGTTTGTTTTGTTGGCTGCATTGACATTTTAAGTGTTTGTGATTAACTTCACTTTGATCGGTTTTGGCGGATTTAATTGATATTTTCAATTAAACAAATCAGTTAAACAAAAACAGAAAAACAATTAATATTAATTATAATAACATTTCTGTAAGTAGAAAAGGAATTAAAATAGCAAAAATATATACGTTAGGGGCAACAATTGTTACAAATTTCTAAAATTAAATATTATTAAATTTATTAAAACTTGTGTATATATAAAAAACAAATTAAGTATGAATGGCTCTTTTAGATTTTGTATATTATCATCATCGATAGTGTCTTCGACAAGATTTTGAGTATGAAAATGGATTCACAAAATAATTATTATTCGTTTAATTGAAATTTACAATCTATTGTAAACATTTCTTATTATTAATTTTATTAAAATTTCAAATTTATTATATATAAACAGACTTGATACACTTGCCTCAGTCGTTGAAAATTTGATAAGACTGTTTGCAATCGATAGAACTGTTTGTAAATACAATGTATATAGCAATATATATATATATATATATATATATATATATATATATATATATATATGTCGAGTTATGTTGATTAGAATTTCATTTTATTTATAATTATGTAAATACTTCTCTCCTTCACGAAGCACAGCTCTTTTGATTTTCCTATTCGACAGCTGCAAATGAAAACACAGAAAATTTCAATAAATATCCATTCACAATCACTACCATGATCACATCACACCACTTTAAACTTTAAAACACTCATTTTTTTACCATAACTTAAAATTTGTTATAAAAATGACATCTATGATTCCTGAGGAATTGAAATTAGTTTTTTTTGAAATATGTATATTGATACAATACTTGTTTTTATTTTATTAATTTTAATTAATATCCCCTATAACCACCACGATTCACTTCACACTTTAAAACACCCTTTTCTTTATCTATGACCTAAAATTTGTTGTAAAAATGACATCTATGATTCCCGATTGAAAACAGATGTCTTTATTGATTTTGAATATGTATTGCGATACAATATTTGCTTTTTTTAATTAATTACTTAAAATAGTCATCAATAGAGTCTCATTCATTGTCGTTCATTTACATTCATTGCCTTTTTTTAACTTTAATTTGCGTTGTAGTAATTTAATGAAGTCTTTTTAAGTATTTTTCTACACAAATCATATTTTATTCATTCACATTCATTCCTGTTCATCGTGATTCATAAGCGTGTTTTACGTCGTGTAGCATGATGAAATTTATTTTCATTTATTTATTTGATGTTAGTTTTTTTTATTGAATAGTTTGCTATAAAAATTTGTGAATGCGCTCATTCATCAAAATTATAAGTAGTTTCTTTTTTATTCATTCTTGTTTCTTTAATAATCATTTTTGCTTGAATAATAATTTTTGATTGAATAGTCAAAATGACAGAAATAAAATTGTAAAAAAATATCTGAAAGCATTAAATTGTATTAAAAATGTTTTGTGAATGAATTAGAGTGAATGATATTTAATTATAGTTAATAGACACGAAAGAAATGAGAACTTTGTTATGAAAAGTTAGTTAGTTGAAATGAATGAATATCATGAATTAAAAATGAATGTTTGAATAAGAATAAATGAATTGGAGTAAATAAAAATGAACAATTATGAATGAATATGAACACAAAGGTTGGCATGAAAATATGGAGAATTGAATAAAAATTAACATTGACAAATGAATATGAAGGGGTGAATAAAAATGCATTGAATGTGAATAATACAAAATATAAATTTGAATCAGAATGAATATGGGTTTATAAAACTTAACTTTGATAATGAACCTGGGTGAATGACTAAAGAAAGGTTTTATATAAAAAATGAATAAGAATGATCACAAATCGGAGGTTTGAATAAAAATGATTATGAGTGAGTAAAAATGAACAGTGATTTGGAATGAAGATGAATGAATAAACATGAAAGGTTTTGAATTTGTCAAATGAATATGAATGTGTGAATAAAAATGAATTGAATGTGAATACTACAAAATATAAATTTGAATGAAAATGAATGTAGGTATGAATGAAAATGAATATGGGTGCATATAACTTAACTTTGATAATTGAAAATGAATCTGAGTGAATAACTAATGAAATGTTTTGTATAAAAAAATGAATAAGAATGATCACAAATCAGAGGTTTGAATAAAAATGATTATGAATGAACAGTGATTCGAAATGAAGATGAATGAATAAACATGAAAGGTTTTGAATGAAAATTAATTGTTGACAAATGAATATGAATGTGTGAATAAAAATGAATTAAATGTGAATAATCCAAAATATAAATTTTAATGAAAATGAATGTAGGTCAGAATGAAAATGAATATGGGTGAGCATAACTTAACTTTGATAATTGAAAATGAACCTGGGTGAATGACTAATAAAAGGTTTTGTATAAAAAATGAGTAAGATTGATCACAATAAATGAGGTTACAATAAAAATGATTATGAGTGAGTAAAAATGAATAGTGATCCGAAATGGAGATGAATGAATGAACATGAAAGGTTTTGAGTGAAAATTAATTATTGACAAATGAATATGAATGTGTGAATAAAAATGAATTGAATGCGAATAATACAAAATATAAATTTGAATTAAAATGAATGTAGGTATGAATGAATATGGGTGAACATGAGAGCGAATAGAAATGAACATTGATGATTGGAATATGTACATGATTGAATAAATATCATTATACAATAATGATTTTGAATATAGATGAATAAAATTGTAAAATGAGCATGTGTAAATAAAAATCTATGGTTTTGATCAAAAACTAAAGCTAGGAATGAATATGAATATAAGTGCAGATAAATCAATAACAATGGATGAAAACTAATCGATACATTTAGGAAAGCTACAAAACAAACCTTTTTAACCACTTTTCTTTAATTGCATTTTGATTAAAATTAATCTGCATTCCGCCCGCATTTACTATCTTATTTTTTTAATTGCAATGCCTTGTTAAAAATAATATTTTTAACAACTAATTGTTGAATGTTTTTGAATAATATCGAATTAATTATTTATATTTATTGTGTGATGTCCATTAATGCTTTGTGTTTGCCAAATTTAATTATATTTTTGTAAAAAAACAAATCGAAGCATGCTTTTGTGATGTCTCACCACCATTTTTTGCTAATTTATTAAATCTTATTTGTTTGTTTATTAATTTAATCATAATTTGTATTGTTTAATAATTTTAATATGTTTTATAATAATTTCAGACGTCGTTTAATCTCATTTTGACAGATTTTTGGACGGATTCAGTTTTTTATCATTTAAAAAAATATTAAAGATATCGTTTAAATGATAAATAAATGAAGTTTGTAAAAGTAAAATTGTAAAATTATTAATTTGGAATCAATATGAGATTTTTATTTGTTTCTTAACCATAAAAACAGCGGTATGAAGTTGTCATTTATATATAAAGACTAGCAAACCCGACGAACTCCGTTTCGCCACCAGTTGGTTTCATGAGAAAGATGAAGAAATTTTGTGTTCGTTTTATATTTGAAAAGCAAAAAATTGATTTTATTATACAACAGTGATGAATTTATTTCGATTACAAAAATGAAGTGGTTTTTAGTTGAACTTCTCTAAGTAAATGAAAGTGAATCCGCAAATTATCCGTTTCATTAAAGTGCTCTTTGGTAAACCACATTTTTTGTTTTTTGGTCTGACGTTAACACAAACAAAGCGGATGGTTTTCCAACTCGTGAACAGGCAACGTATAACTGCCCATGTGAAAAACAATGATTTTATAAATAATCTATTTGAAATTTATCCCGCAAACACTAAGCTTTTGGCTTTGCTACTTGTTAATTGTCATTGCGAACGCAAGGCGAACTGGAAATTGCAATCGTTTGAAGTCAAATGGAAGACCAGTCAGAATCATTGGTATGTCACCAAATCGCCAGCAATTTTTGATTGAATGGTGAAATTCAGTGCGTGTACATCATATTTCTTGGCGGCAAGAATTGCTCGTTGACTTAACCAAGCATAATTCTGATAATTCTCACTAATGTCATTACTCGAACTTTTAATTACGGTGCGTGAAATTCCAGCAATTTGCATTAGGGCACGATGCCATGCACCATTAATTGAATGCAAAATTGTCGAAATCGGTTTGTGTGTTCTGGAGTTAAATCGTCAAGAAGGACTTATTTAATCGTCAGACCCGACTTATTTTTATATATATGTAGATAATCTATTTGAAATTATTTAAAACAATTATTGATTATTTTCATTGCCCGAATTTTTAATTACGGTGCGTGAAGTTCCAGCAATTTGCATTAGGGCACGATGCCATGCACAACTAATTTTCTTAGCTATAAACCTTGCGGAGCCAGAGACTTTTCCAAAGAATGCAAAATTGTCGAAATCGGTTCTTGCGTTCTGGAGTTAAATCGTCAGGAAGGAAAACCCGACTTATTTTTATATATATGTAGATAACAAAGTGAAGTTGTTTCTTATATATAAAGGCTACGGCGCAAAGTTGGTTCTTATTTATAAAGACAACGGCATGAAGTTTTCTTTTATAGATAAAGGCTACAGTATAACTTTGTTTATGTATAATGACAAAGTTGTTTTTCATATTAAAGGGACAACGGCATGTCTTATAGACATATATAAAGACAACAGTATGAAGTTGTTTTTTATATATAAAGACAAAGGTGTGAAGTCGTTTCTTATATATAGAGACTACCGTTTGAAGTTGTCTCTTATAGATAATGAAAAATTCACAATATGGCTAACAATTCATTTATAAAATGATAAAAGATTGAATTCCGTCCTTCAACAAACCTTTCTGACCACATAGACAAAAACTTTAATATTTTTCCCCCATGCTTTTTTTTATTTGTCTGAATATTTATACTTGATTTTTCTATTTTTGCTGTGTTTTCTTTTGTCGTTGTGAAATGTTGTTATGGAAAATCAAAAGGGAGGGCACTGTGTCGGAGTGGAGTTGCGTAACAAGTCGAAATCCGAAGCTAAATTGGCTAAGATGCTCGGGGAATCTAAGCAGAGGCTGCACGAGCACAGGGGCAAAGTCAATGAAAGAGTACGTTGGTAAAAGATAATAAAGATAAAAGATAATAAAGACTGATATTGGTTAAGAAATTTTAGATTAGGTTATGTACATATAGTGGTGAATATGTTTTTGTTAGATAAATATTGATGTAAATTTGTAGTGTGTTTACATTATAGGACTTTTATAGATGTTCTATATTATATTCGGTAAACTTTATTTTATTTTACAGTTATATATCTTGGTCTAATTAAAAAATCAAAATGAATAAGTATTAAATTTAATTTGAATTATTAAAAGTTAGTCGTGCTCTTTAATTTAAGGGTCGATATATTTCCAGGAAAACTTATTTTATTATATATATATATATATATATATATATATAAAACTACAACGACGTGAAGTTGCCTCCTATATATAAAAACAACAGTATGAAGTTGTTTCTTATATATAAAGCAACGGCGTGAAGTAGTTTCTTATAGATAGAGATTACTGTGTGAAGTTGTCTCTTATAGATAAAGACAAAGACGTGAAGTTGTTTTTTAAATTGAATAAAATGATATAATGAATCCAAAGTAAAGTTAAATCAAAGCTTTTGAAATATCTAAGTTTTTTGATGAACCACTATATTAATTCATGCATTCCGTTATATTAATATATTATCTCCTATTTTTATATTTCTGGGCAATATCCAGGCATGTGTAATATTTAATTTAAAAGACTTAAATCTAGTTCCTTGCTTTAATTAACTTTTGAATAATTTAGTTATTTAATTTTTTTTTATTTAACGCTCTTGGCAATAATAAACTGTGGGTCATATATTTATCATATTATATTTGCTAAATATTGAGTTTAACTAATTGTTTAATTATATCTCGATCAACTAGATGGAATGTTGTGCAAAAATCTTAAGCGACACTATGAACTTACTCTTCACATCAGATTTGGGTCCCACGATGTCTGATATCAGAATCATCATGTTATCTTTACTCAGAACTGTTATTCAAACCATTGTGGCCATGGGCAATGAGAACACCATGGTGGTAAGTTGAATAAAAATAAATAATAAATAAATAAATCAAAATTAACTATTTATCCTTTCTTTTTAGGGTAATTTTGTGGCAATAATGCTAGCAATCTTTCGACAAATGACAACAGTGCACTTTGAAGAGTACATTGGTCACTTTGCAACCAGGACGGATCTCCTTGATTTTCTCATGGAGATTCTGATGGTGTTTGAAGATCTGGTAACGAGGGCAGTTTTTCCAGCGGACTGGTGCGATATGATCATGCTGCAGAATTGTGTTGTGCTGAAGTGTCTCACGTAAGGGAAAGGACTGACTATTTTATAATTAATATTCTAGTTTTAGATTAAGCTTAGTCTAGCTTAGTTTAGTCATTTTAATAACTTTGCAATACACTGTAAATTCTAAAAAATATTTTACAAAGATTACCAGAAGATATAACAAATATAAAAAATATATCAATACACATCAAACTACAAAAACACACACAAATTTAAAGACATTCTTTAAAAAAAATAGAATCATCAACTCAATATAAATAATAAAATTAAGTTATTAGTCACATGGCTAAGGGGGCGTTTATTAATCACTCCCTCTTGGTGATACATGGTGATATTCAAAATTACCCTCCCACACCAAACATCACTGTACAATTTTTTGAATTTTTTTTTTTAAAAATGTTTGAATTTTTGGAAAAAATCAGTTAAAAAATAAATACACATAATATCTTACGATACCCCTTCCTTCTTCCTCGTGATATTTTGTGATTTTTGTCAAACACCCCCTCCTCTTAAAAACCTCACGTGATTAATGGACGCGCCGTAACATGATTGTAAAGTCATAACTTGTAGACATAAAGGGGGTTCACAAATGTTTATCCAGGGTCAAATTAAAAAAACAAAAACTATACATAAAAAATAATATATATATTTAGAATTTTTGTGCGACATTGAGACATATTCTTCAAATGTTAATTTGCAGCCAGTCGTCGAATTAAAAGAACAATAAATAATGAATTAATTATTTATACGTTTTGACACTGTATATGTGTCATCATTCAGTCATATTTTTATATTTTAATAACAGATTAAATTTAAAATATATTTAGATTAAAATAAATTAAACAAGTAAAAAAGGATACATACCTTACCAGCATAAACACTCACAAAAAATTAAACTGACATTATTTACAACACAAAACATAAAACAAATAAAGTAAAATAAAATTATAAAGTAAAAACAGAGAGTTTTAACAGAATAACGTATGAATGAGCCTAAAGCGAGCAAACCCGATAGAAGCTGACGGGGTTCACAAAAAGTTGATGCAGGAGTAGGTTTCAAGGATAGTTAAACAATGATGGATACAGACTAGATAAAATAAAATACCGAAAAGATAGGAAAACATAAGAATTAAAAACAAAGCTAAAATCGGAAAAAACAAGAGTCAAAGATTTCAAGAATTATTTAAAAAAAAATTAATATTATGATAAGAGTCATGTACTAAAAGAGCAGAATTTCGTTTATTAACGCAAAGAGGGTATAAAAAGATAAATACAGACTCAGCAAATTTTCTAAGGTCACCATTCTTTTTCTTATGTAAAATAATAAGATTCTTGGTATAAAAAGAATGGTTTAAATTAATGATATGTTCCGAAAACATAGTCTTATATTGATTTGGACTTTTTTAATTACAATTATATTGATTTATTCTATTGTAAATATATTGAGAACTTTCTCTAATGTAACAACAATTACAATCATTACAATTTACTTTATATACAACATCAGTAACACTCTCAACAGGAGTTTTAGACTTTAAGGAGTTGAAAGTTTTGTTAAAATTAAAAACTAACAAAAAACCTTTATTTAAATTCAACGACTGGCTGTAAATTAGCATTTCAAGAATATATATATATATATATATATATATATATATATATATACATATGTGTGAAAATATGTTCATATATATAATTATTTATTTCAGACATTTTTCACATGCAATGAAAGAACATTTCTTCAGCTGCTTCGATCACCAGGTATAATATTTAAAACTCAACTAATTTGTGTATATATATTTATTTATTTATCTATTTATTTATTTATTTATTTTTATTATTTATTTTATTTCAGGCCTGGAATAATTTCTTCCATTGCACAATTGCATTTTTAACACAACCAGCTTTACAAATCGAAACATTCTCATCTAGCAAACAAGCCAGGATTATTTCAAGGTACAAAGATATGAGAAGGGAAGCTGCTTTCGAAATTAAAGCTATGTGGATTAATTTAGGTAACAAACAATACTTCTTTTGATATTTTGATAAAACTCATATTATCTTGCTATTTATAGTTCAGCAATTTTAATCATGGACTTACTTATCATATCTTTTGTAAATGTTAAAGATTTATTTAATATAAATGTAATATTTACTCTGTCTAATATTACAATACCTAACAATAACTCTTCTTACATTATTGAAGTAAAACTTACATAATCCACTGTGTGAATTAATAGAATTTATAGAATTTATTAATCAGCTATTACTTTATTTCTCTAACAAGTCCTAAATGCTAATTACAATGACAAACCGATCATTTCATATTTGAAGTATGACTTCAATTACATTATTGTTTTCAAATATTATAAATATTTTTAATGCTATTATAAATATATAATTTATAATTTATTATTATATAAATGTGTATAATGGTTGACACTAATAAATGTGTGCATCATGAGTGTTACCATATTACTAATAAACATTATTTAAAATTGTTATATAATGTATTTATTTTTACTTAAATGCCATCTTGTACAGTAGCAAATAAGTTTTACTTCAATCGCGTGTGAACCTTAAGCGCACTCCTTTTTCTTTTTCTATTTCTAATTCTTTTTCTCTTTTAGGTCAATACAAAGGACAATTTGTACCAGCCTTAGTTGGTTCAATTCTTGAAATGTCTCTGATACCAGACAAGGAATTAAGAAAAGCGACTATACCAATCTTTTTTGACATGATGCAATGTGAATTCTACTCTTCGAAACATCTACCAGAGTCCTATGGAGACACTAAGAGAGATTCAAGTCACATTAAGGGAAGGTTTACTGATTTTGAGAACGAGATGATTGCTAAATTGGATATACTAGTCGAGGGTAAAGGATAAATTCAATTTTTATTTAAATAAATGATTTATTTGCTTATAATTTGTTTTTTTTTTTTGCAGGTGGTCGTGGAGATAGTCAATACGCGCAACTTTTTAACCAAATTTTAATAAAAATGTGTGAATCCCATAACAATCTTTGTGAACAAGGTAAACAATTTGTAAACACTGTCACAAGACTCATGGAGAAATTGTTGGAGTACCGTTGCATCATAAATGATGAAAACAAAGAGAATAGGATGGCCTGCACAGTCAGCTTACTGGTAAAATAATTAAAACATACACAATCATAATAAATATAATGCTTACATTACAATTAATTACATGTATATTTTTATATCCTTTTTCTGTAGGATTTCTATTCTGAGATTAACCGTAAAGAAATGTACATCCGTTACGTGAACAAATTGTGCGATTTGCATTTAGAATGTGATAATTATACAGAAGCTGCTTATACTCTAACTCTGTACAGCAATTTATTGACCTGGTCTGATGTTCCTTTGTCACCATTGCTAAAGTCACACCAGAATGCTGCTGCAGGTTTACAGACTCATCGAGAACTAAAGGAGTCTTTGTATAATGATATTATACATTACTTTGATAAGGGAAAGGTAAATTGGTAAATTATTATGATATAATTATTTTGATCCATTAATGAAAATTGTTTTTTTTTCTAGATGTGGGAATGTGCTCTGGAGGTTTGTAAAGAGCTTGCAAAACAGTATGAAGAGGAGGTATATGATTATACACAATTAAGTGCTTTATTAAAACAAATGGCACATTTTTATGAAAATATCATGAAGCAGTTGAGAGCAGAGCCTGAGTATTTCAGAGTTGCTTATTATGGAAGAGGATTTCCACCATTCTTGCAAAATAAGGTAAAGAAATGACTCAGAGAAATGTTTCAGTTGAATTTGAAGTTTTTTTAATTTAGTTTAATAGAATTGATGTTCCTAATATAAATATTCTAATCTGTTTCTTGATTTTAGTTAGGCTCTAATTTGAATCTTACTATATCTGAACCAAATTTTAAGAAAATGGTTATAAAAATCCTAAGAGAGCCCATTTGGAATTTCCTTAATTTCTTAATATTTATTATAAGATTTCCATTAGAATCTTATCAGAGCCTATTTGGAATTTCTCTAATTTCCTAATTCTAATCTGCTTAAATTCTAAATGAGTTTCTAAATATTCTAAGCTGTTTCTTGATTCTAGTTAGGCTCTAATTTAAATCTTACTATATTCCAACCAAATCTTAAGTAAATGGTTAAAAAAAATTCCCATGAGAATCTTATCAGAGCCTATTTGGAATTTCTTTAATTTCCTAATTCTAATCTGTTTAGATTCTAAAAGAGTTTCTAAATATACTAAGCTGTTTCTTGATTCTAGTTAGGCTCTAATTTAAATCTTGCCAAATCTGAACAAATCTTAAGAAAATGGTTATAAGATTTACATGAGAATCTTATCAGAGCCTATTTGAAATCTCTTTAATTTCCTAATTTAAATGTGCTTAGACTCTAAATGAGTTTCTAAATATTCTAAGCTGTTTCTTGATTCTAGTTAGGCTCTAATTTAAATCTTACTATATCTCAACCAAATCTTTAGAAAATGGTTATAAAATTACCATGAGAATCTTATCAGAGCCTTTTTGGAATTTTCTAATTTAAAACTGCTTAGATTCTAAATGAGTTTCTAAATTTTCTAAGCTGTTTCTTGGTTTTAGTTAGGCTCTAATTTAAATCTTACTATATCTCAACCAAATCTTAAGTAGATTGTTATAAAATTTCCATGAGAATCTTATCAGAGCCTATTTGGATTCTCCTTAGTTTCTAAGATTTCTCACCGGCATCTTATTAGATTTTGATTGGAATTCTATTAATAACAAACAACCAATATGCAAAATAGAATGAAGAAATGCTTAAATAATTTTGTGGTTGATTTTATGAAACTTCATTCTATCATTACTTATTACAATCTAATTGGATTTTTCTATATTCCTAGCAGAATCTAATCAGATTCTCAACACAATCTGATTAGATTCTTCTGCATTTTCATGCCATTTATACCTAGTTTATTATATCTTTTAAAACCTTTCTATTAAGATAAATGATTTATTTTTGGACAATAAAATTTAATTAGTTTAAGCACATTTATTTGTTATATTCCTTAACATTTTAACTACTCCCATAATATCAATAGAATAAAATTAAAAAATCTAAAATACTTATATTATTATTATAAATAACATTATAATTCATTACTATACATTCAAATTACAATAAGCAATTATAAACAGCCCATGGAGAGGTGTTGCAGATTAAAACTATTATCATCATAGGCCATTTTTATAACTTTATTAATTTTATATATATTTTTTTTTTCAGGTTTTTGTTTATCGAGGCAAAGAATATGAACGTCTATCAGATTTCAGTTCTCGTACCTTGAATGCTTTACCAAATGCTGAACTTATGTCTACATTGACACCTCCTGGTGATGAAATTAAAGAATGCAATGGGCAATGTAAGTTAAAAAATTACAAACGATGACACTTAATATTCCTTAATGTTGTAATTAAATTGAAAGCTTTTAGTTATACTTTTAATCTGCTTATTATTATGATGAGTTTTTTATATCAAATGATCAATTTGTTTATTCTGTTTTTTACAGATGTGCAAATAAATAAAGTCGAGCCTGTGATGGAAGATAAGCAAAATCGCTTTTCGGGGAAACCTGTTAGTGATCAAATATTGAAATATCACAAAGTCAACAATATTAAGACTTTCAAGTTTTCAAGACCATTTTATCAAAGAGGTAAAGGCAAATAAACTACACTAATTAGAATTACAAAAAAATACCTATTATGTATATTTTGGCACTATATGTATGTCATCATTCAGCAAGTTTTTATTTCATAATTTTGGCTTAAAAATGCAGTTTTAACTTCCCATAAGACAAGTTATAGTAATCGCAAAAAAAAAATCGAAAATGAAAATTTTTATATATCTTTACGTTTCAAAGGTTTTTCAACATTTTGGCATACATTAGAATAATTAGATATTGTGTGTGTGTGTGTGTGTGCGGATACAAATTTTCGTCGACGATTCGGGAACACCGATCAACCGATTTGAATAATTCAAAAAACATTTGATTCGTATTGATAAGGAAACGTGATGATTAGTTTTTGGCGAAGGCACGTCTAGCCGTTCCGAAATACGGGACAAAAAGTGCCAAAAACGATAACCCAGTTTTTAAAGAGAACGAAGCGTCCGATTTTAATAATTCAAAAATGATTTTACTTTATTGTCAACATGAATAACTGATTAAATTTTTGGGAAGGCAGGTCGAGCGGTTATGGACTCTCAATAAAAATAAGCTAAAAGACAATGATATTGTGCAGTCAAAAATGTTTATTGGACATATGTACATCAAATTATCAGATATTTTATAGAGATTTTAATAATGTGTACACATTTTGTGTAATTTTTTTGGGTTCCTTACCAAGATTTTTAATTACGGTACGGAAAGTTCCAGCAATTTGCATTAGGCAAGATGCCGTGCACCACTAGTTAGAATATGTTTGAACGCCAAACATATATATAATAATCAATCTATTCGAATGTAAATTAATAAGCATCTTTTTTGCTTTTAGGAGGCATTATGTCCTCTTCTTTGATTTAAATTTTTTAGCTTATGTTGCATTTATTTATAACGTTTTAAAATAATTAATTAAATAAATTTTAGTGTTTTAAGTGTTAATTTATCCCGGTTAATTGTTGAATAATGATACATCAAGTGTCGAAATGTATAATTAATGAATAATGTTGTCATTTTAACTCTTATTTGTTTTCTAACTATTTTAAATTATTATCAACGTCGAAAAAACAATCATGTTCGGACCTATTTTCGTTTTATTATATTGGCCATGAAGGTGACAAACCTCATGGGCATGAGCTTTGCACGGAATGGTTGCTACTAATATATAAGTTGCACAATTAAGCACCCTGTAAGATTATCAAAGTGAATTTAATATGTGTATTATTATTTCAGATTCTTCTATTGGTGAACAAAATGAATTTGCAACATTGTGGCTCGAGAGAACTATATTAAAAATTAGATCACCTCTGCCCGGTATCTGGAGGGTGGTTTCCTGTAGACCAAACTCAAAACATTCAACGTAAGTAGAGAGATGATTTTTTTCAAATCATCAGAAGACAATCACTATATTCATTGATCTAATTTTTAATGTATTTTTTTTTTTTTTTCAGATATCTCCATTAAGAAATGCTATAGAAACAATGGAAGCTGCAAATAAGACTTTACGAGATTTGATAATCAGTTACAAGAGTGATCCTACTTTACCATTAAATCCTTGATGGAGTTTAAAATTAAATGGTAAGTAATTAATGAAAGTAATTTTTTTTCAAACATATGTTTTCTATAATATGTTAAATGGCTTTGATTAACCAAATTTACATGATTAATTTTTTTCTTACCTTTTTAACTTTAGATTTTAAAATTGTTTAGTCAAAATCATAGTTTAATAACTTTGTTTACTAATATTAATAATTTTATAAATTATTCATATCTCTACAATATTTGATAATGATTGTATTAGTTATTTTGATTATCCTTATTTTTATTTATCAAGGGGTCACCCTTTCAATAACTTGTTTACCAATAATAATATTTAATAAATTATTTATCTTTTATGATTGTATTTGAATTTTTATAAATCAAAAAAATATTTCTATCTAGGAATTGTGGATGCTGCAGTGATGGGTGGAGTGACAAATTATGAAGTAGCCTTCTTCACCGATGAATATTCTGAAGCTCATCCGGACGACACTATGCTGATTCAGAAATTGAAAGATTTGATGCTTCACAAATACCGTTACTAGAACTTGGTAATAAAATAAAGCTAATCAAATTCTTTATGATCATATAGTGTATAAGAACTATTATTTTAAATTCTGTATTTGATGGAATTGAAATCAGTAGAATTTGAACATGCACTTTATTGATGCAAATTGTAAATAAAAATAGAGGATTTTACTTTTACTATATATTGGAGATGTTTGTATTTATATTTCTGATTTTTTATTCTGTTTTTTGTTTCAGGAATTACACTGCACAAACAAAGGGCTCCACCAAGTCTGATGCCTCTCAATAACAGGCTTGAGCAATGCTTTTGCAAATGAGAGCACACATTGAAGAAAAATATGGAAAGAAGGTATGAAAAGTTATTTGATAATATATTTCAAAACTAATATATATATAATTACTAAGATAAAACTAATTTTATAGCAGCCATGCCAAACAAACTTTATTTTATCATAGCCTATGGTCCTATATTTCTTTATAGCTAAATTTTAATATGTTATTTACATCTTCAAATGAGTTTTTTTAAGATATTTTGAGGATTGAATTCATAAAGATTATTACAATTTGGCATTATAAGAATTATTATTGTACCAAAAATTGTACCTGTGGAACACCCAACTTAATATTCAGTTTGTCTTTAACCAATTACTGAACCACGATCATCCAGAAAGGAAAAATTTTGCTTGATGAAACTAATTTTATAGCAACCACG